GATTTGTCTGATTGTCATAAACCTCTTCAGGCCTGGACTCTGCTGATACATTGAGGGGAAACAGTTCCTGACATCAACATGTTCTGCAATAACAACATAAAGTCTTTATGGTTGTTAGAAGGTCTTTGCCTGAAGCTAAAGGTCCCACTGGTGACAAGTTTGATCATCTATGGATCTCTTGGGTTTCCTCCTAACATTCATGAGCACAACATGTTTAACACTGACTGAAGTTTGTACCAGCAAAGACTGGAGATGAATATTAATGTTTAGTAGTTTCTGAAATGCATCAGAAAACATTGAATGCATCATGATGGTAAGTTGCTCTGCCATCATGATCCATTGAGGAATTTGTGTCTCTGATGGATCTTCAAACTTCAGGTGGAATAATACACATCTGTTAAACACCTGCCAGGATTTGACTCCCATCATTTTCAAAGACAAACTGCAGCTCAGAAGAACAGCAGCTTTCATTTTGCTAATTGAAAGCTAAGATATCCATCATCACTGACCTTCCTCAGTTTCTCTTCAGTTCAGTTTCAGATGACCATCAGCTCATCTGAGGGCTGCAGACTTGATGTGATGCTGAGGCTGATCAACTGGGGAACACAGAGGTGGTGGAAACTCCAGGCCTGATGCTCTATTTGTCGGCAACAGCATCTCCATGTCCATTTACCACAAAATGAGGAAAACGGAGCGTCCCAGGCTGGTTTCTGTGGTAAAGTGTAGGTAATGGACTGAGTCGCCACATGAAAGGCTGGGCAAAAGGCAGGATAGAGAAACAAGAGAGAAAGAGCAGCAGGAGCCTCAGAAAGAAAAAGCCCAGAGTTCTCAGCAGGAGTCCTTCTGATGCTAACGCTGAACAATTAGACACATTATCCAGACAGAGCTCCTCAGACTGGGCCCTGCTTAGGATACGGTCCGTAAATAAAAATGATTGCAGCATACATGGAGACGGGAGACGGAGACATTTCAGTTTAATGGTTTCTAAAATGCATCAGGGGAACGCTGAAAGACCCACTATGGCAGCTCTCTCAGACTGAGACTTTTCCATTGCTTCTCCTCCTGTCCTCTTTCTCTGGCTGTTTCCAGCTTCTGCTAAACAATGGCTTTCCATAGATTTATGGAGATGAATATGAATTCATCACACAGAAAGAAAGAGCCTCATCAGACCTTTCTACACAGCAACATGAATCTCCTGGATCTGAGATACAAGCAGAGCTTTACTTCTTATAAATCTTCAGACTTCCAGCACGTTCTGTTAAAGCGTTCTGGTCGTCAGATTTTTGATTTGGTGGCTGCTCATGACCAAGCTGGGGAAGTCATTGGCTGCTCTTTACTCACACAGCAGCTCACTTTTCAAAGGACATCAGAGAAACATGAAGAAAGGGAAAACAGGGATTTGTTATCTTAACTCAGTTAAGGCCAGAGCCTCCTTTCACTGCATCAAATGAAGATTTATGAAAGCTTCCCATTCCTGTGCTTATATTGTGCAGTGCCATTTAATTCATTACATGTAAAATACACACATAGTTTTAAAGCATCATCGCTCATGTTAAGTACCTTGGTATATGTGGCCGATCCTGTCTGTTCATTAACCAACCTGATCTGTGAACACATGTTTCTGTCATCTTCAACTGGAAGTAAATAAAGAGCAACATCTGGGTCGACGCAACACACTCCTCATGGAACAAGCTGACAGCATTTCAATAACTGACAAGCAGAACCAGAGGGTCCATCAGTACCAATGATAACAGTCCATCAGAAACTCATTGGAATAAAAAATACATGTCTGAAGAGTCCAGAAACCATTTTTACAGCAATCTGAGTGGAATCAAAACACAGCTCAGATTCCTTAAAGTGAAACGGAGTCAAAAAACACAGAAAAGTTGGAGCAGATGAAATACTTGGTTATTTAAAACATGACTTTATGTGAGTTGGACAATAGAGGCAACAACAAATAAGAGGTTAAAAGCAGAACTATAACATTAAGGTGTGCTATTTAAATCTACACCATGTTAACACTAGTTTACCTCTGGGACTACTGAAGGTAAGATAGAACTTAATTAGAACATTTGTGAAATTTATTGAATATCTTATGCCACTTAGTTCTGACAATACAGAGCTTAACACTAATTGTGAATCCAACTGTGTTGATATCCGTCTACAAGCCCTCTGTACCACTGCAACAATGAAATGACAACAGCATTGTTAAATTGTGAATGAACTTTGATTAAAACAGACAGGAAATAAAAAATTAAAAAAATAAAAATTTGGGGGATGTCCTATGTAAAATCTAGATTTGATCGCATTCAGATTCTGAAAATGATCCTAAACTGACTTTTTCTGCAGAAAGACCCTCTGATGTGTCTGAATCAAAAACCTTTCGACAAAGAAGAATGGGCCAAGATTCAACCCATATGATGCAAAACATCAAATTCCAGTAATCGCCAAAGCTTGACCTGGAGCTGTTGCTGTGACAACGGACTTTTTGGCTCATGGCTCAGTTTTGTTGGAAAGCATTTTCCCCTTTATATATGAATATATTATCTCAGAATTGCATGTTGTATTCACTCAGGGAATCTTTTGTCTGATACACAAATTGATTTATTGTCCTGACACATTTAGGTGTCACAAAAAGGGAGCAAATTCATTTTTACAGGTACCTGTATCTACATTTCAGGGGTTCACATGAAACTGGAGTTTTACCATTTTTGACCATTTTATACTTGTGTGATACATAAAACATTGTTAGCTTCTGGTCTGGCTCTTAATGCATGAGTCTGTTTTATGTTTGAGGTGAGACAGGAGATCCAGTGAGCTGCACTGCAATGCAATAAACCAACGGGACTCATAAATTAACTGAGGTTGGAATGCAGACAAAGTTCTTCAAATTCAGCTGGGATGGTATACAAGTACGGAAAGTATTTGTTGAATGACTTACTGCTCTCTAGTGCTCTCATTTACAAGATAAAATACATGAACTGGGATATTTTTTTCTCTGAAAGAGTCCAGTGACACTCAGTAGGACAAATTTCTAAACCACAGAAATCCTTTTTTAATGGTCCTCCTCACAAATCTCCTAGAGCTTTGTTAAATGCAAAAGTGAATACAACTTCAGAAGAGTTAAATTAAATTTTCTTTAATAAAAAATGTATCATTTCATACAACTTGCCTGATTAACATCATTTACAGAAAGGACTCAAACCCCTTGATTTTCTAGAGACTGTACAAATCGGATTCTGATCATATAACAGGAGTCAAAAAGGTAAAGACAACATGGAGTAAAAATCTCTGGAAGCACCGACTAAATGTGACAAAAGACAAGAAGAAATGGTGATAATTCCTGCAGACAGGAATCTCTACCTTCAAATTGACAAAAATATTTTCCTCTGTCTGAAGTAAGTAGTTAACGATGTCACTTCACTGCTTTAACAATAAAGCTGACACTGAAAAGCTAAAAAAAACCCTAAAGTAAATTTTTTTAGTATTTTAGGTACTTTTCTCCTCTTCGTTCCCAGTTTCTGAAGTCCAGTTTAAGGATAATATGTTAGCTAAGCAACCAGCAAAATACTGAGCTAATTAGCTCTACTTTAGGCAGAAGAGAGTTTAGACAAACTGTTCTTGTTCACAAGCAGGAACAACTAAAATTTCTCAGAGGAACCAAGCTAGCCTATATTGCTAGCAGTCGCAGAGCTAATTGGTTAGCTGAAGGCTCTTACATCAGTCTACAAGTGTTGTATAGATCGGTAATTATTACTCTATTGTTATTGGGAGATATAATTGTCATGACAAGAATTGTGATTCATCACAGCAAACATAAGCTTTATTTTAAGATGTTTGCAAATGGAGAAATGTGACCAAAAACTGGTTAAGAGTGTTACTTGTGCTAGCATAATATTTATTTCAACTGCTGGTTCCCAGAGAGCATGAATAAATATTATTACATATCAAAATATGAAAAAATGCAAAACTGTTTGCTGCTCAATGTTACTGGTATCCTGAAGTAGTCTAGTTGGTAGTGAGCAGCTGATGTTGTATTTTCAGAGTATCTGTGTTTGTGAGGTTCTGTTTTTTTTTTTGTTTTTTTTTTGTTTTTTAGTCACAGAACCAAGTTTTACAGCCATATCTCCCATTGCTAAGCAGTGGTTCTGAAACTCAGCTTCTCATAAAACAGTGGTAGAGGTTCCCACCACTGAGCTTTGAAAACAGACACGGCTAATAATAAACCCATAAAAAGTGGAGTATTGGCATCACAGACCACCATTTTTCCTATTATTTTGAATTCAAGGGACATTGTTTTTATATGGTTCAATAATTATGAGGAATAAACTCTACAATCAATCATTTCTAAATTTTATAGAAATACATAACTGGTGTTGTAAGCCACTGTGTGTGTAGATGTAACCTCATCTGAGCCAAAGCAGCCAAGGAGAAAACTGAAAATTGAGAAACCAGTTAAGAAGAAATGAAAGAATCGCATTGATACACATTCAAGAAAATGGTAATTAATAAGCATGAGCTGGTAAGAACGAGTGACAAGTAATAAACCAGTGATTCTCATAAAATCATGAGTAGCTACATCCTGAAGGTCCCGCAAAGCCGCTGTTGGCAGCCTCACTGAAACCACGCTTGTGTGAATTAAATAAAAACTCCACCCTAATGAAACTACAGTGAAGCTTTCTTGTTACAGTGAAGCTTTCTTGTTAAAGACAAATGTGACCAGGTCTATAAATGGCAAAGCTGGTCTGCTGGACACGCTTTCAGAAAGCTGCTGTTTCAAACAGTTCCAGGATGGAGCTGGATAAAATACAGGAAACGAGAACCAAACACTTCAATGAAAGAAAAGATTTCAAGGAGCTACAGCTAGGATGAAGTTTCCCTTAGTGACAAAAAAAATGTCATCAAAAGTATTCAACAAAAGTACTGGAAGCATATAGAAAATATATTAATTTCTTTTAAATAAAATGACAGTTATTGCCCTTTCTTGAGAGAGTACCTGGCAGTGTTTTCACTTGTTACTGAAGCACAGAAAGAAGACAGAAAACATGTTTTTATGTTCTCTGTTTTCCATCAGTTTTTTATTTTTTACTTCTATCAAATCTGTCCACCAAGCAGAAAAACATCCCTTTGGTTTTCCACAGGTTTCATTTTTTTTTTTTTTAATACACTAAAGATTGAGTCTTAGTTGTTCTGCTGGCAGAACCGTTGGACTGATTGTTATCGGTCCAGGTAGGTGTTCCGTGATCCGGATGCACTTCCTGAATCCAGATCCTCCCAAAACGTAAGGCAGGTCCACCTCACACTGATCTGTGCCATCTTAAATTCTTCACAGTAGTGTCAGAATCAGTTGGTATAAAAGAGACTTAAAAAAAAAAAAAAAAAGGAAAAGCATATTGTTCGTTGTAACCTTTCCCTTTTGTCCTTTCCCGGACAGTATGGGTCTCAGGAGTGAGTCCAGCTGACAGGAACCCAGTGAGTCCCTGTCTCCACTCGCTTTAGTGCCGACTGCAGCTCGCTGAAGGCCGTGGTGAGGTCGTCATTCACTATGACCTTCTCAAACAGGTGGCCGTACTGAGACTCCATTATCTCAGCAGTGTTCAACATCTCCTGGAAGTCCTCCTCCTGCAGAGTCACAGAGGAGGAAAGAAAACGGGGAGGAAAATCAGCTCCATGAAGATGATTTCAAAAGCTTCAACTATCTGCATCACAATGCAACTTTTATAAAAAGAAATGTTTTTAGCTTTTTTTGTTAAAACTGTCACCATCTTGTGACAGTTTGCTATGAGACAGATAATCTTCTCCGCCTCCTCTCTGAACTATTGCCATCTGAAGAAATGCATCGCTCCTGATCAAAAACAACCAATCAGACCCGCAAGGAGGGTGTTTGCGATGTCAATCAAATTTGTGTATGTGCTGCTAAATGTGCTAATGGCAGAGAAACAACTTACCATTACAGAGAAACTGTTTATCTGCTGTCATTGATGGCTATGCTAACTAGTCATAGCATCCACTACAGCCTCTGCTATTGGGAAGTCACCGTAGCGTACCAGAGGGGAAGGAAGAGAGATGGAGGGTGAGTGAGCAGCATGCACATGAGGGTGATCGACAGCGCTAAAACCCTCCTCTTGGCTCTGATTGGTTATTTCTAGGTAGAACTGGGAGAAGGCACTATTTTTTCACAGGTCATCTGTCTCATATATTACACTGTTACAATGTGACTGTTTCAATAAATATGTAAAAAAACAAAAGAAATTCTAAATAAAAGTTCGATATTACAGCTTTAATACTAAAGATAATAAAACAAAAATACTGCTGTGAACACAGATTTCAAAAAGCGCCGTGTGCAGAGATTGTTCTATTATGACATGATTCTCACACATGAACCCTGCCACAGAAAATGCTCTGAAACTTCAAGGAATTTTCATTTTTCCTTCCACTCAACACACAGGAATATCCACTCCACTCAGAAAACAAGACATCCTCAGAAATCTCCTCCAAAACAGGCAGAGAGCAAAACACACAGCTCTAATTTACAGAAAGGAAAGGGAACATTTATGTCAGTCTGCATTGTGTGTGTCGGGAGATGGGAGCTTGTGAACCGGCTGCACAGCTCACTAAACCAACTGAAGCCTTGTGGCTTCTGGTTGACCCCCATGACCCTGACCCCCTCAGTGCAGCAGCAGAGCTGGAACATGGCTGCACTCATTTAGCCTTCTGGTTTTACTGGGAACATCCAACTTTAGACTGGAGGACAGATATGGTTTTATGCAGACCCACTTTGCCAAACAGACAATTAGAAACACACAAAGATACAAGTTCATGCTGAGAAACTCAGAGACACAAACAACCCTGAAGGATTCAAACTGAGTGGGAGCAGAACACATGAACACACACAAACACACAGGCTGGTGAGAACTTCTAACTCCTGACCAGCTCAGTTTCTGGAGACGTCGCCTTCAGTTGCTGTTTGTTACAGTTTCTCGCACCAGTTGTTGGATTTAGTTATATAAAAATAACATTCATATTTTCTAAAACAATCATTTTAAAGTTTTAAGACAAAGTCATCATGATGACTTTTTGGTATTCTAATACGTAAAGCCAAAGGGCTCTGACAGATTACTCTGGGTCTCCTACCGTGAAGGGCCTGGCGGATCCTTTGTCATCTTTGCTTGAGATGATTTTGGCGTTCTTTCTCGTTTCCCTCAGTCTTTCCATTTTTGGAGGTTTCACAAACACAACGAAGGGTTTGAACTCAGCCGTCCGCAAAAGCTTTATTGCCTATGAACAAATAGAAAAGCAGGAAAACGGCTGAAGGAGAAGATCTGATTATGTCACAGGGGGATTAGGGCTGGACAATAAATCAATAATTTATTTTACAACAGACACATGATCAATATCAATAGATAACACATTTGATAGATTTTTCAATCATTTTACTGAACTCCAGTCCAGAACTGCACAGCATTCTGAGGCATGAGGCAGAGGAAAGATTTTAGTCGCTGAACCTCTCACGGCTAGCTAAATAAGGTTAGCGGCAACAACTAACTCATTCTATGGTTACCTAAAGACAACCTGTTGCGTAACCTGCCCAGCAGTGGTTTCAGGTTCTGCCACTTAAACGCAAAACAGCTTTGAAAAAAGTGGAGAGTGAAAACTGTGTTTAAAACAGGAAAGTTTTGACAGCATTTCAGATATTTAAAACAAAAAAACTAATCAATAATCATCTATATAGACCGATATGAAAGGCTCATATCGTGACAAGTTTTCCAGCCATGTCTCCCAGCTCTGCTCCGGATGAAGGAGAACGGTTTATCTCACTCACATGAGGCTGAACGTCCAACAGGCACACTTTCTTCTTGGCGAGGACGCCCCGTAGAGTGTCCAGACTTGTTCCGTAGTAATTCCCTTTGTACTCGCCGTACTCCACAAACCTGAGGTGGGACAGGACAACACGGCAGCTGAAAAGCTGGACCACATATGGAAAGGAGGTGAAATTCCCAGGTGGAGATGGAGAATCTGAACTTAGTCCAGTTACTTTGGAAGACAACTAGCATATGAAGAGCACTAGGTCAAACAAAAACTGTTTGAAAATATTAGATGTTGAAAGGAAGTTATTCTGTGATACTGCTGCTATGATGCTTTGGTACTGATTTCATCTAAAAAGACCTGCTGTTAATTCTCCACCTTAGAGAGTTGTACTCTGATTTTAATGGGGCATTAATATTCCAGGCACATAGTCCCATTTTACAATGCAATCGTGTAACTATGCTACCTTCAGCTGTTATATAAAGGCTCTGTCAAATTTGACTCAAAAGAAATTAGACTTTGTAATTACAAAAGCCTTGAAAATGGGTATCTGTCTCTTTAAGAAGCTCCTCCTCTTTTTGAAACTCTGCCTTCAGGAAGTCATCACAATATCTGTCCTCTATTAACCCTTTAACAACATTTTTACCAGCGATTCACTGAGAAGAAGCTCGTATAGTGAGCTTTGTAGATGCACAGTTGCTCCAGGTGTTTGCTAATTGCTGCTGGCTAGTCTCAAGGAGCTGAGTGGGGTACAGGGGTTGCTCTGAAGAGGAATCTTAGAAGCTTGGAAACTTCTGCTCCGAGGAGGAGCTTTGTCTTTGAAGGCGGAGCTAGGTCCACCCAAGGCTTTTTGCACAGGTGAATGGTTCCCAAAGATATTAAAGGATTTCTCAAACATGTGTGAAAGAATCAAGGCAACACTTCAGGTATGTTTTTGATGAGGGAATGACATTATAGGATGATGTAAGCCTCAAAAAAAGTCAAATTTACATAATACTTTCCCTTTAAATGAGGTTTAAGGTTTTCTTCTGGGAAAGCTGTTCAAGCTGAGCACACGGTTGTTGTGGCCTCTTATTTGGGAGCTGAGAGTATCGTTCTCTGCTGCAATGAGCCACAACACAAACAAGTTCATCTCCTCTCCTTCACTGAGCTGCCTGTAATTTCACAGTGGACATTTCCACTCGTCCAGCCCACATCACAGCTCTGCCACTCATCCCTCCGACTCAGTGAAAAACATCGCATGCCTCCACCTCCACCGCAGCATGCCCTAAATATAACACCTCCTCCAACAGCGCCACCACCCTCCATTCCTGCTCTCTGCATGCTGGGATTGTCTGCGTTCACTCAGGACCACAGACTTCCTCCATGTCCAACTCTGGATGGAACTGTGTGTGTTTGCGGCACTTCTTCTTCTTCTTCTCAATCATCCTTCTGAACTTTACAACTAGCACTTCAATTAGTCAGCCACAAATATGGAGGCAGAGCGACGGCGCCGGGGCCAGTTTCAGAGAGAGAGGGCCCCGAGCAGAGGAGGAAGCCCAGACGGAGACCTGGGGCCCACAGTCTGGAGATCAGTTCCCAGCCCAGGGCCCGGCCCCGTCATCAGCAGCTCACTCTGAGTTACAGACAGCAAACTGTGGCACTCTGCCCCTAGTGGACAGGAGAGGAAACACAAGAGATGGACTGATGGAGTTTGGAGGCTCTGAGTTTGATGTTAGACTTTTGACACAAGTTTATGCAGAAACATAAACATGTCATGTCAATAGATGCAATACGTAGCAGAAAATAATCACAACCAATGATCAATAATTTACAATAACATATTCCATCACTATGAGACAAACAGGTTTTGATTTTTTTTTTTTACTGTAAAGATATAAACAATATCTGTATCATGTTCATTATGTGCTGCTTTGATTTTGTTTCTATATTGTTCAGTTCACAGTTAAACTCTCTAACACAGAGCAGCAGAGGAAGGCTGTGTTTCTATTTAAACTTCAGGATGTGATGAGTTCCTGCAGCATCTGGAACTTCAAGTCTGATCAACATGAAACAGTTGGAGGTTCAGCAGAGGCTTTGCTTCTCCACTGTGATCTGTGGGTTTCTCTCTCTGCATACTTGTTGTTGTGGATGTCTGCCTCAAAGAGATGTTTGGAGATGAAGTGGTACTCCACACCGTCACTCTCCTGATTCTTCTTGGGCCGACTGGTATCTGGGGGAGGGAGAGAGAGAAAGGTTGTTTCATGTTGTGTTTGCTGTTAATTTTGGTGACTGTATGATGTTTTTAAGTGTAAAGCACTTTCATGTGTCCATGATGAGTCGTTGTATAAAAGCAGCAGACGACTGCAGGGAACTTACGTGGGATGGTCACACCGAAGTGCTGAGGGTCTGAGATCAACAACTTCCTCTTGAGTTCATTAATGCCGACCCCTGAAGGTCCTGGACAGAAAAAGAAAAAAAAAACAAAAACAGAAACATCCCATAAATGTTCAGCAAAACCAGCAGAAAAAATGTCTGTTTCCTTGAAGATTCTTCAGGCTCTTCTAGTTCTCAGCTGGAAAAAGGAAATACAGCAGCAAACATTTTGATAAGTTACAGGAGAAAAAGTACAAAGTGACTAGGAGTCAAATGAGTGATGGGTTCACAGCCGGGTTCTGTTGTTGCTGCTGCAGCCTCACGCTGATCCTACAGAACCCTTCAGAACCGGGGCCGTTTAGTCCTGAACTCGTCCTGCTGGTTGGACGGCTGTAGATTATGACCAAACATGCTTTAATACTTGAACAGAATTTGACCTCAGTTCCAGTGAAAGTCTCCAACTTTCCTTCCTCCACAGAGAAATCAACCAGTTTCACATACGAGTTGAGTGGTCGACTGATTTATTCAGATCAGGAAGTGGAGTTCGTTTGGACTCGGGTTGAGGAATGTGGGAGGAATGCAGCACTGCCGTTTGAACCGGGTTCTGTTGTTGTAGCCGTGAAGGTGGCAGAGCGCGGTAATAGAGGCTCTGTAGTGATCCTTATCTCAGTGGTGCAGACAGTCAATCCAGCAGGAACCAGACCTGCACACACAGGCTGAGGGGGAAACATGGAGCCTCTGGATCAGAGGGAGCAACACAGACGAGGTCCAACAGAACCAGCAGCTCCAGTCTGAAGCCAAAGCCAGCAATAAAGCAGAAGTGCTGCTGTTTTCTATGAGCTGTGCTCCTGGGTTTCTCTCTCTGCTCGCAGTTTGCTTCAGCACTAAAAGTGTCAGTCTGCATTACTGCTCTCATTAGAGAAACTGCCTTCACTGTGGAGAGCTGAACGACTTCCAGGCCAAACAGACCGAGGCCCGACCCGATGACCCGGCCTCCCAGCTGCTCTCATCAGAACCAGACGACATCCCAGCAGCGTTCACACTGTGGCTCCACTTAGAGAGCTGCAGGTTTTCATCAATAGAAACTCTAATGAAGTGCTCCAAAGGTTCTGTTTGTGGATCTGTTTGCTAACGTCTGCTCTGAACTTTAACAATCAGATTTCTTTAAACTCTGCTGACATTATGTAAAACTGATTTTCATTAGCTGTCTGTCCTGAAAGATGCAGAAGCCCAGATAAGCATCTGCATTCATCTTAGAAATGATCCCAGACTTAATTTCTTCAGCTCCAGTCAGGTCAGAGAGGCAGGCTGCAGCTCTGTCATTAGAGACTGCTTTAACCTCAACAAACAAATTCCTTCAGGGATTAGGAAAAAGCTTTTAGAGAGAAAGCTGCCGTGTCCCGTCTGCAGGTCTTAAACAACAACAACAACAAAAAAACACTTTCTGCAGAAACACCCTGAACTTTCCCTGAAGCTTTGATTTTCTCTATCCGCTGCGTCACATTTTAATAGCAGATGGGAACAAAACTGAAGGTACTCATCAAGCACTTTCATTCTCTCCACAGATGCAACAAGCTGATCCAGAGTCTGATTAATACCATTTAGTAAGCTTCTAAAAATCCGTAAACTCAGATAAATAAAACTATTCGACTGTCTGATGACCTTTAGCCTTTAATCTATACATCTGAGAGACAGAAAGCAGAGTCTTTCTTCCTCCACTTCATGAGTGTCCAAATGTCCACAGACTGCCCTCCACCCTATGGAAGACAGGTGG